ATAGATAGATAGATAGATAGATAGATAGATAGATAGATAGATAGATAACCAATGGTCTAAATTAAAATCCTTGGTTTCTATTACAAAAACACAAAAATTGTGGAAAACCCCAGACAATAGGTCCACCTACCAAATAACCAATTCCATAGCAATGTCCCCTACTGAGAGAAACTCAGATCAAATCCAAGACACAGAATTCCATAGCAATGTCCCCTACTGAGAGAAACTCAGATAAAATCCAAGACACAAAATTCTGAGATTCTATGAAAACACTAAGCTCACGTGTGCAACTGCCAACCCAAATTCTTATATCTCACAAAACTACACTAAAACTGAAGAAGACATAAGAACTTTTGATGAAAATAGCCCATTAGAATAACACTGACTTTTCAATGGAGACTCTCAAGGCCAGAGGGCCTAGATAGATGTTCTTCAAGCTCTCACAGACCATAGATGCAAATCCAGACTATTACACCCAACAAAATTATCTATCTCAATTGATAGAGAAAGAAAGACATTTCATGATAAAATAAATCTAAGCAATTTCTGTCCACCAATCCAGCTTTACAAAAGGTACTAGAAGGAAAACTTCAATCTGAAGAAGTCAACTATACTCAGGAAAACCCAAGGAACAATAAATAATGTCAAATCAGTAAGTCAAAGGTGTCAGGGGAGGCACACAACACAACAAAATAAGAATCAATACACACTGCTTATTGACAACTCTCCAAAATTAATGTCTCAATTCCCTCAATAAAAAGATATAAACTAGTAGAATGGATGTGAAAACAGGATCCATCCTCTCATTGCATCCAAGAAATATACATCACCACCATGGACAGACCTCACCTTAGGGTAGAAGGATAGAAAGCAGTATTCCAAGCAAAAGGAACCAAGAATCAAACATTTGTAGCTATTTTAATATGTAACCAAAATGGATCAGAAGAGATAGGGAAAGACACTACATAGTCCTCAGAGGAAAAGTCCACCAAAAGGACATTTCAGTCCTAAGCATTTATTCACCAAACACAAGGACACCCCAATTCATAAAAGAAACTCTATTGGAGCTTAAATCAAAATTGGCTTTCATAAACTGAGTGCGGTGGCACAGGGCTGTGATGCCAGCACTCTGGGAGGCAGAGGCAAGCTGATCTCTGTGAGTTTGAAACAAGCCTGCTCTTCAAAGCAAGTCCAGGACAGCCAAGGTTACACAGAGAAACCCTGTCTCAAAAAACAAAAATAAAAACAAAAATGGCTCTCATGCAATGTTCGTGAATGGCTTTAGTGCCCTACCCTTGCCAATAGACAGGTCATCCAAACAAAACTAAACAAAGAAATGCTGGAGTTAAATAATATCATAAATCAAAGAGACCTAATATATACCTACAGAACATTCTACCCAAATACTAAAGAATGTACTTTCTTCTCAGTAGCCCATGGAACTTCATTTCTAAGAGAAAGACTTCTCTGGATTGTGTTGATGCATAAGGAAAAGCAGGAATTTGGAGTTTCCTGGGTGTACCACATATGGCTAACTTTCCTCTGCAAAGTAACATTCTCAAATAGGAGAGAGGCAAGGCTCAGTGGTGTCCTACACAGACTAGGGCCTCCATTCCACAAGCCTAGAGCTGAAGCCTTGGCTTACCACCTCTCTGTGTGGCCTAATCCATAAGGTTATGCAACTTATACCACTTTGCTTCTCCAAGTCCAACTGAGTGAGGAACGGACAAAGAGAATGAGAGTGGGGAATCCATGAAACAATAGGAAAAAAACATCTCTGAGAAATCATTGATATCAGGTCCTGAAGAAGGGTCCCAAGCAGGCCAGCAACTGAAGAGGTACCCACCCTCCTTGATACCGCAGGAGGGAGCGCAGAACATATACACTGAGGCCAGGGCCTCTGACTCCTTTCTCTCTGGATCAGAAGCTGAATAGCTTCACACTGGCAGCAGCTGCTAATAGAGCCTCGTGGAGTCACATGAAAAGGACTGTTTGTGCCAGTATCGCTTCCCAACAGCCTGCCAGATATGAGAAGACCATTAATAGATTGGAGGCTAAGATGAAGAAATTGTCTGATAGGGCCTGTGCTGATACTGAGAACTGATAGACAGATGGACAGATAGCATCAGAGGATCATAAGAGAAGCACTCCAGATGTAAGAGAATTCACCAAACCATGAAGGCTCCTCTTAGACATGAGCATTGTTGCTGACATATTATGTTCCCGGGTAATCTCTCAACAACGAGGCAGCCGCTTTGGAGCCTGCCCATATGGTAAGCAAGGCACATCGCTGTGATTCCCACCCCTGCCTCTGATTTGTGGGGTGCCTCTGAAAATGACTGCACCGTCATCCATGTGGCATTCCTCATGAAATGTGAAGTTCATCCTAGTCCCCTTCTCCCAATTCCCCTGCCTGCTCTCTCCTTCTCTTCTCCAGCAGTTTCTGTGCCTCTAACTGACTCCTTTTCCTGGACATATTATGAATGTTTAGTTTTCCTTTGGAGAGTAAGATTCCCAATAGGCTAGAGAAAAGGATCACTGCTGTGTCCCAGTGAACAAGGGCCCCCATGCCATGGCCTTGGAGCCGAAGGCTCTCATTCATGGCCCACCACGTGCTCTTCCCCATAAAGCTATCCAAAATACAGCATGAAAGGACTTTGAAGGAAAGTGGGGCATGGTAATGCTATAAGTGTAATACTCCTGAATGAAAACTCAAAAAAAAACAACATTTTAAATTTTAAAAACTGTCTCTGGACAAGAGGAATGTCAAGATGGCTCTGGTTGTTTTGGGGTTTTGTTGTTTTTGTTTTGTTTTGTTTCTACAATTGCACAGGAATCTACATTGTCCAAAAGAAAAAGGGAGTCTGTAAGAATGCTGTTGGTTGCTATTTGTTACTATGGTTATAGATTAGGTGGTCTTTTCCTAGAAGTGTGAGGATCCTTTTAGTTTGGGTTTGAACTCCTGTACCTCACCATCTTCCAGGACACCATCAAGTAGGACTGTGTAATTCCAAACACCCACACTCAAGAGGCATGCTGTCACGGAGAGTCATCCATCAGCCAGGTGTGAGTGCTCGTCCTCAGTCAACTTCGTCCTCAGTCAACTTCCCGTCCAAACATCCACTGACGATTGCAGCTCTTCCTCGGAGACCCATAAGCCAGATGCAACAGCCTTACTTAGGAAGACATGACTTGACATATGAAAGATCACTGAAACCATGGATACTTCTCTGAAGTCAATGTTTTTCGATTGATTTCCTCCTTTGAGGCAAGAGTGTGTTGTAGTGATTTTAATACTTAATATTGATTCATGTGGTTGTTAAAGCAGCAGTTATTCCTTAACCCTACTATAGAAATAAAGGTACAGGGACCCCTGTTAGATTTTTAATAGCCTTAAACCACTGGGGATGGGCAGAAATAACTCTCCTAAGCGACCTTGTTATTTCTCTGCTTTACATCCCAAGTCATTTGCTCTAATTATTTTTGTCTGGGCTATTTCCCATCCAAAATTCCCACAAATATGTGTACATGTTATCCATTAGGTTTGCTTCTCTTCATCACACCAAACCTCAGAGGAAGTTCCTACCCGTAACATGTTTCTTATTATGCTAATCCATGGCAACTCTGCTTTGTTCATCCTCCTTCCTTCTCATCGCCCCTTCCTCCTTCATGATCCTTCTCTCCTCCAAACCCTTGAACCTAAACTCCATCTACCCCTCCTCTGCCCAACCCAGGTATAGGCATTTTATTAGCCAATCAGGGATAATTTGGAGGGCAAGGTTACACACCATCATTTCGGGTACATGATAATCTGCTCATAAAAGACACCAATCACACCCCAGAAAGCAAAATAATTAAAGCCTTAGAATATATAGCACCAGACCATGCCGCAACAAGAGTGTCTTTCCAAGGTGTGCACAGCAGTTACAACCACCCCCCCCCCGCACTCCAAGCCCAATGAGCAGGACACCGTCAGTGAAACATGACTGGGCTGCCTGCAGTGGCTGTCACGGCCCCTGGGACACACGTCGTTGCATTTCTCAGATGGGTAGCTGCCAGAGATGTGTCATTTGCAGCAACAATAAAACTACACCAAGAGCAGCTACAGTCAGAGTCACGCCTGGCTACATCTACAGTAGTCCACTACAAGGTCTTCAAGGCGCACACAGATATGCTGAAGGGAGATAAAGCAAAAATCACCTCTTTTGCATTGTTCAATAATGCATTATTTGCACTGACCCCTGGACAAGCCCATTATGACATTGCCTTGGTTTGCTTTTTGGTAAGTTGAGGCAGTCGTGGTGTTTCTCACTAGTTTCTATCACAATGTCACTTCATGAATCAGGCAACCTCTATCGACATGATGCCAATTTGTGACTATGTCTCTCCTACCTCTGCATTCAGGAACTGGAGAAAGAGCGTGTTCCTTTGGGACCGCATCTTCAAAGACCATTCTCTAACTGAGGCTCCACAGAAGAATTTGGGGGTCTTTATAAAGTATTATCAGGTCAGATCCCGTGCACAGTGATTAAAAAAATATGTTGATCTTCTCTTCTGTCTCTCTCTCTATCTCTCGCTCTCTCTCTCTAGTCCATATCACTCTGCTTAGACAGCCCCTTGTGGCTCTGAGGAAGCAAAGGAAGGAAATACAAAAAAAGATAGCGTTGAGGCCAGAAATCTCCTCAAGGGCACCCAGTCTCTGTCATGCAAAGAGCTCTGAGTGGTTAGAACCAAGCCTGGGACCTAGCTGATAGTCAATACCTCTTTATACCAGACCTGGACTTTTTCTGCGAAGACCCATGACTCCAGAACATTAATTTCAACTGTAGAGTTCATTGAGATGAACTGTATGGTCTTTGAGTCTGACAATGCTTCTTTGACTTACTGCATTAATCTAGCTGCATGATATCTTTTTCCTTGAAATGTCTTCACAATAAATTATTTTTATCCCCCTTTCCTCATGTATTTATTTATTTAATCACTTTACACCTGATCCCAGCCCCCTCCCTCCTCTCCTCCCAGTCCCATCCTCATGCCACCCCCTCCCCAATTATCTCCTCTCCTTCTCAGAGGAGAGACCCCGAAGGGGTACCAACATACCATGGCACCTCAAGTTGCAGCAGGACTAAGGGCATCCTCTCCCACTGAGGCCAGACTAGGCAGCCCAGCGCGGGAAAGGAATCCAAAGGCAGGCAACAGAGTCAGACAGTCCCTACTCCAACTGTTAGAGTACCCACACGAAGAACAAGCTGCACATCTGTGACATGTGTGTAGGAGGCCTAGGCCCAGCCCATGTGTGCTCTTTGGTTGGTGGTTCAGCCTCTGTGAGCCCCCATGGGCCCACGTTAATTTACTCTGTCTTGAGGTGTCCTTGATTCTTCTGGCTCTCTCTATCCTTTCTCCACTCTTCTACAGAACTCCCCTAGATTGGCTGTGGGTCTCTGCATCTGTTTCCAACAGCTGCTGGATGAAGCCTCTCAGAAGACAGCTATGAAGCATAGCAGAATACAGTTGTTAGTGTCAGGAGCTGGCTCTCTCCCATAGGATTGCTCTCAAGTTGGGCCAGTCATTGGTTTGCCATTCCCTCAATCTCTGCTCCATCTTTATCCCTACACTTCTTGTAGGTGAGTCAAATTTTGGGTAGAGGGTTTTATGGTGGTTTGGTGTCCCCTCTTTCTACTGGAAGTCCCACCTGTCTACATGAAGTGGTGACGTCAGGCTCTGTATTCCCCACTGCTAGGAGTCTCAGCTTTTCTTTACAAAAAAAAAAAATGTTTTCATTTTTATTTAGACCAAAATCATGTCCGAAGCTCATCATTTTCTTTGTCTATGCTTTTGAGTACTTTAGACACAAGACCAGCCACTTTACACTCTTGTGATATTTGGCTATAAATAATTGGTCACCCAAAGCCTTGTCTGGCATTGCAGATACCCACGGGTAACATTGTCTAAGTGGCAGGTGTGCTCTGCATGCTGTAAATCATCATGTCACACCTACAGCTACTAGTTTTTATCACTTACAGCAGGATCTATAAAGCCGTTAGCTTATACCTGGATTGGTGAACAGAAGGGTCTCCCATTCTTCCTTCTAGTGAAGATCTCTGTTCTACAGGTCCATCCGGGAGGGAAAGCATTTGTGAGCGGTGCAACGCACAGGCTCTGTTCTAAGGTTATTCCTGATGAGCTTGTGGACCGGTGGACTGACCCTTTTGTAACCCTTTGTAGTTGCTTCCCTTCGCTTTGTTTTTTCGATCAAGGAAAGCAGGCTGACACAAAGAAAGTTTATTGGAGTCAAGTAGCAACTGATTTGAGAGCAACTTCTGATATTTAATGGCTATGGCATTTCGGCAAGGCTCGATTTCCTCTTCTATAAAATGGAAACAGCAATACTCTGGGTTGCTGGGGTCTAAAAGCACAGACCAGAAATGCAACAGTATGTCAATTATTCCAAAGTGCACAGGATTTCAAATTGTGATCGATTAAGAATAAAATTTGAAATCGATGGTGTGCTCCTGTTGAACTGAGAGCAGTGTTTAGTATCCGGTGACACATGAAAAGATGAAAGCACCAGCTACAGTCTCAAAGGCTGATCTGCACAGACACTGCATTGTTATCATTGTTATCAAGCAAGCATGACTCTCGACATACAGCTACACAGCCTGAGATCCCTGCAGAACACAGATGCGCTACTTGAAGCATTCCATCGTGTTTTCTGTTCATCCCCCTGGAATTGAAAACAAGAAGTTTTAGAAACTAGCTAATTAAATATACTGTCTTCCCGTTCCGTGATATCCTGAAAGTCCACTGCATTCTCCCTAAGTGCGTATTTCCATGTTAGTATGACTAAACCAGGGCCTGCACTTACAGCAGCTGGTCTCAACCTGTAGGCCACAACCCCTTTGGGGTCAAATATCAGCTATCCTGCATGTCAGACAGTTTACATTACAGTTCATAACAGTGGCAAGTTTACAGTTCTGAGGTAGCAATGAAATAACTGTGTCGCCGGGGAGTCACCGGAACATGAAGGCCTGTATTACAGGGTCACAGCGTTAGGAAGGTTGAGGAGCACCGATGTAAGGTCTTGGTCATGCCTGATGGGCCGTGTACTTAATACACTGTCCCCATTCTCTCATCTCCTACTTACTTGAATAAAGATGAAATGACCTCCCAGCACAGACAGTGGCCATCAGGCTGAGTCAGTCCCCCAGCCCCCGTCAGTGTTTGTAAATAAAAATGTGCTCCCTCACACCTGTGCTTTCATACACTGCAGACGCCTGTGTTGGTGCCGTGATGACAGAGGTGAACCTTTACACATACGCAGCCTGGGCCTCAAAGCTGTCTACAGGAACAGGTTCCTGACCCCTGATCATGACCCCCTCCCTTTGCCTTGCTGTCCTGCCTCCAGGGAGCCCATTTGAAAGGTGGAGTCGGCACCTGGTCCTGAGATGCAGGACTCTCGGGATCTGCTCACATAGTCAGCACCAGCAGAGAGAGGAGGCATGAGAATTTCTGATAAGGAGTACAAAGCTTGGCCAAGCCCAGTCTGTGGTTTCCAGCCCTTCCTTTCTCCTACTTTGGAACTATAAAAGAGGGAACCAGAGCAGGAGCACCCCAGAAGCTTACTCGAGGCTGCGCCAGTGGGAAAATGCTGGCCCTCCTCTTCCTCTTGGCCCTTCTCTGGCCTCCTGAAGCTGGAGCTGGTGAGTTTTGTCTTTATCTTCCTAACCTCTTGGGTTCTCAGCAGCCTTGACCTGTTATCTTGGCTGACAGAGACCCTAAAATGAGGTAGTCCAGGGGAAATCTCCTAGATCAAGTAAGAATGAAAAATTAATTCCCCTTTGCATTGTTTCATCAAAACAGTCTCTGTTCTGATGGGCAGCTCTTCTCTGGCCTTCCCCTTAGTGTTGAAGAAGACAGGACGAGGGTGAGAGGAAGTGTCTACATGAAGTGTCAACTCACATACACAAGTGACCATTGTGTTGTGAAATGTAGGATGATGGTGGACAGGGAGGACTGGGTAGGGAGGATCAAAGGACATATTGAGGGGCCTGTGCCTCACTAAGGGCGGGGTGGGCTGGGAGCAGTCACTCAACTTTAGCCCCCTCTTCTTTGGCCAGTGCTGTGTTGGGCTATCCCACAAGTCTGTGACTAGGGACTCGGGTTCTTTGTTCCAGAGGAGATTATTGGTGGTGTTGAGTCCAAGCCACACTCCCGCCCTTACATGGCCCATCTGAAGATCACCACTAAACAAGGTTACACCGTCAGCTGTGGCGGCTTCCTCATAAACCAACAATTTGTGATGACGGCTGCGCACTGCAAAGGAAGGTAAGAGGCTTCTCTCTGTGGGAAGAAACACATGAGCCGGAGTCACAGGGCAGCAGAGGCTGGAGGAAAGGCCTCAGCCCTGCTCATCTCCAAATGAGCTCCTTTTTATACTGAGAGGACAAAGGGCACACAAAGCCACTCATTGGACCGTTTTTATTTGCCATCTCCATTTTCAGAGGCAGGAGCTTTAAGCAGGGCTCCAGCTGGGACAAACTTTCCTCCTATCCTGGTATCACCAGAGCTTTCAGTCATGGGCTGGACTGTAACTCAATGTAGGGTGCCTGTCTGTCTCCCACATGGAAAGCCATGGGTTCAGTCCAAGCACTGACGGGGGGAAGGAAAACAGTTCTCAGTCCTGTGCTTTCCTGAGCCCTGTCCTTCTGGGAAGGCAGTGCCCTGGGAGCTCCACTGAAGTCTCTCAAGTGGCTCTGCCCTGGGACAGAGAAAAAACGACCCCGGTGTCCCTCTGCTCGGAATGAATCCTCCTCATGAGACCAGCCAATTTATTGCTCTTCTTCTTTTTCAACAGAGAAATCACCGTCACTCTTGGAGCTCATGATGTGAACAAGAAAGAATCCACACAGCAGAAGATAAAAGTCGAAAAACAAATCGCTCACCCAAGTTACAACTTCTATTCCAATCTCCATGACATCATGTTACTGAAGGTACGGCTATTTTCCTTGCGCTTCTTAACTCTCCCCTCCTTAACTCTCCTTGTGGCTCAGGCCTTCCAACTCTCTCTCATCCAGTCCATCTCCTCAGAACCCACCCCTGAATTCCATGTCATTGCCACCCAGTGGGACTCATGTCCAAGATAGCATCCTTCTCTGGTTTGCCAGCTCTTCTCTCTTTCTCCTGCCCCATCCCCCACCCTCACAGCTTCAAAAGAAAGCTAAGGTGACTGCTTCTGTGGATGTGATTTCCCTGCCCGGTCCATCTGACTTTATAAACCCTGGAAAAGTGTGCCGGGCGGCTGGCTGGGGGAAAACTGGAGTGACAGAACCAACGTCAGACAAGCTGAGGGAGGTGAAACTAAGAATCATGACTAAGGCGGCCTGTAAAAACTACAGGCATTACGACTATAACTTCCAGGTCTGTGTGGGCAGTCCATCAAAGATAAGATCAGCCTACAAGGTAAGAACACACTGCTTTCCCTCCCCACATCAGGAGACAGGGTCAGTGGAGGAAGAGGGCCAGACAGCTCTCTCTTACAGTGTCAGAGGCCTGTGTTCTTAGGCTCCTAGCACTCTGGGAACTGAAATTCTCCCTCTGGGTCTCCTCTCCCTATGCCCAAGCCCTGCCTGCAACCTTCCCATGGGGCTCCAGAAGGGAAGGGAAGAGGGTAAAGGGAGACAACATAAGCATTGGGTCAAGACCAGAGGGAAAAAAAATCAGACGTAAACCCCTGACTTACGACTCATAGGCAGTCAAGACCCCTTACTTCACTCTGGGACTAAGTAGCCGTGGTGGGGAGTCTGTAGCTGGGGGAAGGTGATCTTTGATATAGTCTGCTTTTTCTAACCCACAGGGAGACTCCGGGGGCCCTCTGGTGTGCGCTGGGGTGGCCCATGGCATTGTATCTTATGGACGCGTGGATGCCAAGCCCCCCGCAGTCTTCACCCGAATCTCCCCGTATGTGCCCTGGATTAATCTAGTCATAAGGGGCAAGTAGCTGAAAAGCCTGGCCAGTCCGAGGCAGAGCCTCCCAGCCAGAGCTCTTCTGGTACCCTGTGGGTTCAACAAAGCCTGTCCCCAGCCTGTCCCCGAAGGATCTCAAAGATGCACAAGTCTACAGTGATTGAGTATTCCCTGTAATGCAACTCAATAAAGACAGAACCTCCAGCAGCTATGTGACTCCACTCTGTGCTCTGAACGCTCAGCCCCTCCTCAAGCTGAATGAAGAATTGTTTGGGGCACACGGGTGTGCAGATGTGGGTTATTGAATATCATCTAGCGTGCACGGGGGTGTACTGTAAGATTTCATATCCAGACTAAACCGCCCTGGTCTGCCGTTTTCCTCCACTGTCCTTTCTTCTCCCTCCTTGTCTTCTCCCCACAAGCCCCACGCCTTATCACTGCATCTTCTCCACATGTCATAGCAAAGTCCATGTGGAGGTCAGAGTGGCTGTTGATAGCTCATATCCTCAACACCTGTCCTGCCATGGTCATCCACTCAGCTAGAGCAGAGCCTGGCCTCAGAAGCCCTTGGAATGTGACTGTGGCTGCAGCAGTCACAGCAGGAGAGTACCAGTGCTTCAGGGCAGAGCTAGCAATCGTTGGGAAGAGACCTCCCTCTAGAACTTAAGGATGGAGCTGGCTCTAGAACAGCTTCTTAACCACCCAAATTCAACTGCCATCTTCCTCAGAGATGGTAAAGTGAGGTCCCACCTTTCAAAAGAATGCCCGAGTTACCTCAACTTGTAAGTGGCCTGTTCTCCTCTTACAAGCCAAAGCCCCCGTCGTCCTTAGTCAAGGGAAACAAAGCTCGAGCTTCAGGGGACTGTGGAGTCTGAGACTGAAGAGGCCACACACGAGGTCTACCGTGTCCGAGGGAGGATTAATATAATGGGCTTGTCCTCTGACTACTGTATCATAAAAAATTGCTGTCACCACCAGCCCCAGACCAGGAACTCAGCACCTCCACCCTCCTCACTGCTTGCCAGCCCTCACATCTGCATTCCAGCTCCGTACAGATGTAATGGCAGGCATCAAAGTACAAGACTGACTATAAACTCTGGGGGCAGGGAGCACATATAGAGATTAAACAACCTAAAAGTCTCTTTAAAAATTAAAGAATCTGTGTTACGTGGGTGACTTGTTTATTTTTTTCTCTTATATATAGTTATGTAATGAAATGGTAGGGTTTTTTTGGTTTTTTTTGTTTTTTTGTTTTCATTTTGATTTAGACTGGTTTGGTTTGGGCATAGTCTCGCTATATAGTTTAGACTGACTTCCAACTCATAGTTCTTCTGCCTCAGCCTCCCTAGTGCCTGGACTACAAGCATGTGCCGCCACCCTGAGCTTAAACAAAAGTCTCAAAGGGCGAAATACAAAGACGGGAGCTATGTTTTCTTAGACGATGTGAGCTCTCATTAACCTGCAGCTGGGGCCATGCTGTCTCTTTAACCCCACAGTCTAAGAACAGCACATCCTTGGGACAATCTTCCTTCCTGAAGCTGGGCACCTGGGTTACCCACCCTGCAGCCTGGTCCACAATAATAGTGGGGCAGGTGGAAAGTCCCGGGAGCTGGGACAAGGTCACAGCATGAACAGTTTCCAGAAAGGTCACCACTACAGAACAAACCCCATCACATGGGCCCCTGGTGTCAAAGGAACAGTTGGTGACTCAGAGGCTCCAGAGTCAAGATAAGAGCCTGATCATTCTTAGGCATGGTGGGTGGCAGGCAGTCGTAGCCTGTCCAAAGGACTCTGGAAATGAGAGAGCAGGCAGAGCCTCAAGAGATCAGAAAGGGAAAACGTACAGATGAGACGTTTTTCCCGTGGTGGGTGCAGTAGCTGTGCTGAGCATCTCAGCTTAGTGAATCCTCTCAGAGCACCCTTAACAGCAGACACCCACTGAGGATGCCCAAATCGGAGATCAGCCCAGCCAACAACAGCTGAAGAAATCATCCAAGAAGTCAGCACTTTCTCACCCAAGCTTTTCGAGAGTGGAAACAAAACTTAGAAGTCAGGAAAAAACGGGAAAATCTTTAAATCAAAGGAACTGCAAGTGAGAGGAAAATACAGGTTCTGTGCTTAACAAATAACTAAAGATCTACCGTCAGAAACCAGAGATGCTTCCAATGAGGAGAATGCAGTCTCTGGTGATATAGGACAAGAAGAAAGAAGTGAGGGTTATAAATGCCCTTCAGCACATGTTACCTCCTGCCCCTGTCTCTTACCATCCAAAAGAATGTTTTTTATCAATTATTTTGTAAATGAAAAATTTTAGTTGCTCTAGAAACATTTTTTAAGAAGGAAGAAATATGACTTCAAATCGTTTTTTTTTTTTTTTAAGCATACCACAGTTTTTGGGTTTTGCTTCGCTGTTTTGCTTTATATAAGGTCTTGCTTGAAGCCCAGGCTAGCCTGGAACAAGAGCCACACTCTTGCTTCAGCCTCCCAAGCACTGAGGATCGAAGTGTGTACTGTTGTGCCCAGCTTTTCATCCTGTAATGCAAAGCTGCTGAAGTTAGCTTGGAGTCAGCTTTGTGCACTGAATATATCGTGAACATCTCAATTACTCCTAGCGTCACATTGCTAAATTATTTCCTAAGAAACAGATCCTGAACTGGACACAGTAGTGCACACACAGAACCCTAGCACTTGGGAGGCAGAGGCAGGAGAAGTAGGATTCAAGGCCATGGGGCCTCAGCTACATGTGGCGTTCAAGCCTAACCTGGACCACAAATAAAATAAAAAATGGGAGTAGGGTGTAGAGGGCAATGGAAGGAAGGGGGCAACAGGAGAGAGGGAGGGAGGAAGGGAGAAGAGAAGAAAGGAGGGAGGGGGACAGGGAGGAAATTGACCACTCCTGGATGTGGCTGTCCCTGCCAGAGCTGCGTGCACTCTACAGCATACTCTGCTCTGTAACCCAATTTCCCCAGCAGCCTTGCAAGGTTGTAGAGGATTGAAATTTTGAGCATACGCTGTATACAATGTTACATTGTGAATTAACCAAACCTTTTGAATATGCCAACATATTTATAAGCAGACAAGAGAAGCGGAAGAGAAAACAGAATTCTAGGAAACTATACCAGATAAAGAAAATGCAGGCAAAACCATAGGGTCAGCATTAATGAGGTTGATGTTGGTCTGGAAACTCTGTATCTCTTCCCTCACCTTCAGCCAAGCAGAAGAAACACAACTCAGGGCCAGTGGATCTAAGCCATGATTCTGTGGAGCTGGCACCCTCGTGCTACAAAACCTACCCCTCCATTTTCAACCACACAGGAGAAAAACCTTGCCTAGGCCTCTGGGGCTTGGCCTCACCAATCCAGAGCCAACAGACAAGACTTCCCAGCCCCAGATCCTTCTCTGCCCTGTTAGAGATGGAGTGTCAGAGGAGGGCACTCAGTTTTAGCAAATGAAAGCACGGGGCTTACGTTAAATTCAAACTTTAAGCTGACAGTAGAGGCCCCACACAACACTGGGGATGTATTGTGTTGTTGTTCACCTGGAATACAGATGTAACTGGGCACTGTGCATTTCATGTGGCAACCCCAGAGAACGAAGCAAGCAGTACTAAAATCCTAAATGAGGGAAGGTTTTTGGAAAGTGTGTGTCTTATTCTTGAGGGGATCAGACATGTGGGTGGGCTCAGCTGAGAGCAACACAGCTGATGGACGCTAAAAAAAAAAGGGTCCCTGTGCTCACAAGCCCACCCTGACCCAAGAACACGGTGGACAATGTGGGGGAAGCGTTTACCCCTCCATAGGCCCCCATCCTCTTATCCCTATTCCTGATTAATGTTTTAATCCTCCCTACTTTGTTTAGATGGCATATTATACATGTCTGCTCGTGTACGTGTTTACACATGGACACTGAGTCTTTCTGAAAAACACGTTTCCTACTGTGGGCTATAGTGACCACAGCCTATGTGCTCCTGGATGCTCAGTGCAAAAGTTATCATCAACCCAAGTCCCTAGGGACCTTTAATAAGCTGCCCTAACTAGAAAAGGTAAGATGTCCCCACACTCCTAACCCGCACAGAAGCACAGCTGAGGACCCATCTGAGCACCCGAGTTGTAAGAGTCCAGGCTTCCATTTCACCCCTAAGAAAGCCGTGTTATTCCAGGGGGATGTCCAGTTATGAAGAGAGCCAACTTAGAGAAGAAACCATGACCACACTGTTCCTGTGGTGACAGCTCTGCCACTCCCCTGCCTGCTGGGACTAATAAGTCCGAAGAGCCAAAGATAAAGCCTGCACCAGGCGTGAGCAGCCCCTCTGACAGGATGCATCTCCTTGCTCTCCATCTGCTCCTCTTTCTCCTGGGTTCCAGGGCCAAAGCTGGTAAGTGTCTGGGTCCTTCCCTCTCAAACCTGCAGGTCAGCCACTAAAACGAAGAAGTTGAGTGGGACATTTGAGACTCTCAAACGGGTCTCACAGCTCAACTCAGGAGCCTCAGAGGGAAGTCTCTCCTCTTGGAATATGCCCACCCAGTCTTTAAAGCCATGGTAGTTCCAGGAACACAGAAGCTTGTGTTGGCTGAGAGGGAATCCTAAAGCAAGTGGGAAAAAGAGGGAGACTCCAGGAAAACAGGCGCATTCTCTTCATCGTTGAAGGACAGGGCAGAGTGCACCTTGTGATTTTGTGGTTCTATGCCTCTAAAGAGCCAGACAGGAGGAATCTAGACAACATATCCTGCAGGAAAGCAGATGGGCACGGATGAGGCACAGTGTAAAAAACATCAGAGTTAGAAACTGCCTAAATCTAAGGCAGGCTTGGCTGCTCTGCCTTGAGAAAGAAACAAGTACTTGGAGGAGAGCGAGTCGTGGGTGAGAAAAGCTGATAGAGATACCTGAGTGGACAGTGGGCAAAATTTAGGGCAAGGAGATCAAGGGAAGCCTCTCTCAACCTTAACCCAGCTGTGCACTCTCTGGAGAGAGCAGCCATGCCTATTACAGGACCTGGGGTCCTCTGTTCTAGGGGAGATCATCGGAGGCACAGAATGCAAGCCGCACTCTCGCCCATACATGGCCTATCTGGAAATCGTCACTCCCGAGAATTACCTGTCGACCTGCAGTGGATTCCTGATAAGACGGAACTTTGTGCTGACTGCTGCACACTGCTCGGGGAGGTGAGACAAGAAGCTGTTTATCCCTAAATATGAGGGAAACCACCAGGGAAGCAACCTAAGAGGGATCCAGAGCCTAGGTCAACTGACAAGAGAGAGATGTCATTGGATAGATGCCCTGAGCCTATAAATGCAGCTCCCCTCAGAGGCAAGGGAGGTTTCTCCAAAAGCGGCCCCTCCACACCTGCTTCAGCACAGAAGATGCCCACAGCTCACTCGTCAGAATCTACCCAGGAGTTTTCTGAGCCATCTCTCCTTGCTGCTTTCAAGAACAGTGGCCTTCAGTTGCCAGGGTCTGGGGCCCATCATATCTAAGGAAGGCAGAACAAGGCCCACAGGACACTTACTACTTCTTGCTTTCCTCACTGGCTCTTGCTGTAGAAAACTGGCCCCCATACAAAGTTCCCCAAATTGGGGAGTTCTAACCCTGCCCTACAGGTCCTCTATTTCCTGATCATTCCCCAACAGTTCCAGGGGAGCCCACCCTGGAAAGTGCTCTGTTCCAGAAAACACTCTTTCTCCAAGCCTCTTCTCCCCTCAAAGCTGACTCAGGCTCAAGGTCCACCTTCAGGCCCAAGGGCAGGTATCTCCCTGCTGCTCTCCTGATTAAAAACTGATCCTGTCCCAAACCACAAGAAGCCCAGAAAGTCATTCTCAGTGGGGACTTCCAGCCCTTTCTCAAAAAGGGTTCATCTCTGAAGCTGTCACCGCCTCTGCTTGCCCTTCGTCTTTGTTGTTGCTGCTGGTGGTTGTTGTGCTGCTGTTTTGTTTTTGATGTGCAGTCTCATGTAGCTCAGGCTAGCCTCAAACTCAGAACGTAGCTAAGAATGACCTTGAAAATCTAATTGTCTTGCTTCTACCTCCCAAGCGCAGAGACTATAGCACTGTAGATCAAGCCCAGAGCTAAGTAATTTATTTCAAATCTTACAGGGTGATAAGGACTTAAATAGTCCAAGAACATTATCAGCTGAAGCTGAAAAGGAATTGGCTCTGATAGAAAGGAAATTACAAGATGCATGTATAGACTGTATTGATCCAAAGAGGGCCTGTATTTTGGTTATTTTGCCCTCCACTCATTCTCCCACAGGAATTCGTATGCAGAGGGAGGACTGTATTTTAGAATGGATATTTTTGGCACACAAACAAAATAAAAAACTAAAAACCTATATAGAAAAGGTTTCTGAATTGATCCTAAAAGGAAAAATGAGACTTCGTCAACTGGCTGGAATAGATCCAGCTGAAATTGTGATGCCCTTTACCAATGCTGAGATTGTGTCATTATTGGCAGACAACAAATATTGGCAAAGAGCTTGTTGTGAATTTTTGGGAGAAATCAACAGCAGATACCCAAAAAGCAAGCAACTTCAGTTTATAAAAAGAACCAATTGGATTCTCCCTCATATAGTAAAAGGAACTCCAATTTCCGGAGCTCCCACATTTTATACAGATGCCAATAAATCAAAAAGGGCAGGTTATAAGTCAGAAAATCTGAGTAAAGTGGTGGAGAGTCCTTATGATTCAGTTAAAAAATCAGAATTATATGCAATTTTCTTGGTGTTATCAGATTTTCAGGAATCTCTTAATATAGTCACTGACTCTCAATATGCAGAAAGAGTTGTTCTGCATATAGAAACTACTGATCTAATTCAGGATAATGCAGACTTAACTTCACTGTTCCTTCAGTTACAACAAGTAATCAGAAATAGAAATAATCCGTTGTATATAGCACATGTCACATCTCATACAGGTTTACCAGGTCCTCTGGCACAAGGCAATGATGAAATTGATCAACTATTGATAGGAAGCGTGTTAGAGGTCTCAGAATTTCATAAAAAAAAACACCATGTTAACAGCAAAGGTTTAAAAAGAGAGTTTTCCATCACTTGGCAACAAGCCAAAGAAATTGTGAGAAAATGCCTCACTTGTTCTTTATATAGCCAAACTCCACTACCTGCAGGAAGTAACCCTAAAGGTAACCAAAGAAATGAAATTTGGCAAATGGACGTGCTTTATTTTACAGAGTTTGGTAAACTGAAATATATGCACCATACTATAGACACATATTCAGGGTTTCAATGGGCAACAACCTTAAGCTCTGAAAAGGCTGATTCAGACATGATGCATTATTAGAAGTGATGGCAATTATGGGCATACCTAAACAAATTAAGACTGATAATGCTACAGCGTATGTCTCTAATAAAATGGAAGGATTTTCTGCATATTACAAGATAAAGCATGTAACAGGTATACCTCACAATCCTACTGGTCAAGCAGTCATTGAAAGATCCAATCGTACTGTAAGGGACATGCTTAACAAACAGAGAGGGGTATCAAAAACTCCCAGAGACAGATTACATAATGCTTTATTGGCCTTAAATTTCTTAAATGTTAATGAACAACAAACAACAGCTGCGGAGAGACACTGGGTTATAGGAAAAACTGCTGAGTTATTTCAGCCTATATGTTTCAAAGACACCCTAACTTCACAGTGGAGTGTCGGGAATGTATTACGCTGGGGAAGAGGTTTTGCTTATGTTCATGCAGGAGAAGAGAAATTATGGGTTCCTTTAAACTAATAAAAATCAGAAATGACAGTGGAAGACCACCGGAAGATCTTAGCCACTCAGGAGAGCAAGGAGAGCAGAGCTGAAGGAGAGATCTTGGAGGACGTGGAGCATGAACCAGACCTAAGATTTCACAAAAAGCAAGTATAAATTGGGAAATCTAAATGTTAGCAAACCGAGGGCTTGGAGGTTTAGGAGGGAGTAAATATTGCCCAGCATTGTGTTCTAGTTAACTAAAAGCCCAGTCTCTGTGTGGCCATTTGGTTATACAGCTGTTTAAGATTAACAGCAAGTTTTACTAGAAGATAAACCAATAATAAATATTAAAAACCTCTTACAACAACCCCACATCCTGTTTGCAACATCAAGTGCTCTCAGTGATTCTGAATTATTAAATAAAGAGTTGGCATAGGGTTAGTAGGTCATCGAGGGGGTGGGGCATGGCTCAGTGGCTAAGAGGGCTGGCTGTGGAAGTATGAGGACCTTCGTTTGAATCTCCAACACCCACATAAAAATAGGGTGTGGCTAAGTACGCCAGTAACCTCAGCACTATTCGACAAGAGGCTCTTTGGGGCTTGCTGGCCAACAGGGTAGCTCCAGGTTCCTTGAGGACCTCATCTCACAGGGCTCTGGCTGAGACTGACAGAGTAAACACTCTCTTCAAGCCTGCTCGAAGAGGCTGTGCACACATGTGCATATACCACATATTTTAAATGCGCACACACACAAAATGAGAGAGAGGTGAGAGAGACAAGGAGATGAGAGAGAAAGAGAGGAGGAGAAAGAGAGTAAGATAAAGAATGGGTATGATTTCTTGTTTAAGCTGGGTATAATATAGATCTTGCCTTTCCAGGAAAACTTAGTTTTTCTTTGTTATTTTCCATCTCCCTGCCTGTTTCATTGGGTATCTGTCTCTGCCTGCTCCTTCATACCAGCCCCCCTCAGACACCCTTCCTAATCTTAATTTATTTCAGCTGTGAATCAGGTTGCTGTGTGTAGGGAGAAGAGATCAGCTGATCGAGGAGACACACATTGCAGTCTACAGTCTGGGTGTTTATTGAGGTTTATTGAGATGGTGACCTTTGGGAACCTTCTGTGACCTGTGAGAATCTTCTGGAAACTCAGGGAGCCAGGAACCAGAGACAGGCCAGAGCACACAGCACAGAAAACCTTCTTCCAGATTTCCTCACAGGCTGGCCCAAGCTCCAGAGTTAATTCTCCCGCAGGATCTTGTTGATCCAGGGCCGGTAATGGGAGATTCTGGTGAAGACAGCAGGGGGCCTTGCATTCCGATGGACGTAGGAGGCGATGCCCTGGGCTATCCCAGCACACAGGAGGGGTCCTCCAGAGTCTCCCTGTTGGGTGGGGTCGAGGAGAGGAAACCGGTGAAGCGGAAGGAAGCCTCTAACTGTACCCACCCCTATCAGTTGGCAGGCACTCTAGAGCCGGATGCCACATCTTGCTTTTTGTGGTGTAGCCCCTCACCTTCCTCTTGTCACCCCATGTTCTCTGCACAGCAGGACCCAGTGCTGGGAAGAGGGATTCTCTGTTTCCTCACTTGGTGATTCCTAAACACTGTGATTAACAGACAACCTTCTGCCCCGCCCCCTTCTAGAACTCTGGCTCCCAGCAGAGCCAAAGGTTTTGGTTTTTTTTTTTTAAACCAGTAAGAGGGTCACCTTGTACACATTTTGCATCTTCTTGGGATTGCCTACACACAGCTGGGAGTTGTGGCAAAAATTGGTGAAGTGTTTGCAGCCTTCAGCCTCCAGGAGTCTCATCTTCACCTCCTGCAGTGTGTCGGAGGTTGGTTCATTCACGTTGGTTTTGCCCCAGCCAACTGCCCGGCACACTCTCCCGGGTGGGATGAAGTTGAACTTGGCTGGGAGTGGGAGGGTTCCCACTGCTAGGGTTAGCTTGGCTTTCTCCTTCAACTGTGAAGGGAATGGGGTACTCTTAGGGATATGAGCTGGAAGGTGGGTATAGGTCATCAGGGAGGAAAAGTCGAAGTACAGAGTCCAACAGGGGATAAGATGGGAGTGCTGTCCAGAGGCAGGGCAGGGAGAATTCAGGGCACTGGGCACCTGAGGGAAAAGTCGAAGGAAGAAACTTGTTACCTTCAGTAACATGATGTCATGGACAACTGAATCGTCATCATATTTTGGATGAGGGAATTGCTTTTCAACCTCAATCTTCTGCCATGTGTCTTCTTTAGCTGTTTTGTTATGGGCTCCTAGGAGCACAGTTATAGACCTGTTGTGAGGAAGGATGGGGCCTGAGGATGTTGCAATTGTAGAGTGCTTGCCTAACACATACAAAGCTCTGGGCTTGATCTACAGTGCTATAGTCTCTGCGCTTGGGAGGTAGAGGCAAGACAATTAGATTTTCAAGGTCATTCTTAGCTACGTTCTGAGTTTGAGGCTAGCCTGAGCTACATGAGACTGCACATCAAAAACAAAACAGCAGCACAACAACCACCAGCAGCAACAACAAAGACGAAGGGCAAGCAGAGGCGGTGACAGCTTCAGAGATGAACCCTTTTTGAGAAAGGGCTGGAAGTCCCCACTGAGAATGACTTTCTGGGCTTCTTGTGGTTTGGGACAGGATCAGTTTTTAATCAGGAGAGCAGCAGGGAGATACCTGCCCTTGGGCCTGAAGGTGGACCTTGAGCCTGAGTCAGCTTTGAGGGGAGAAGAGGCTTGGAGAAAGAGTGTTTTCTGGAACAGAGCACTTTCCAGGGTGGGCTCCCCTGGAACTGTTGGGGAATGATCAGGAAATAGAGGACCTGTAGGGCAGGGTTAGAACTCCCCAATTTGGGGAACTTTGTATGGGGGCCAGTTTTCTACAGCAAGAGCCAGTGAGGAAAGCAAGAAGTAGTAAGTGTCCTGTGGGCCTTGTTCTGCCTTCCTTAGACATGATGGGCCCCAGACCCTGGCAACTGAAGGCCACTGTTCTTGAAAGCAGCAAGGAGAGATGGCTCAGAAAACTCCTGGGTAGATTCTGACGAGTGAGCTGTGGGCATCTTCTGTGCTGAAGCAGGTGTGGAGGGGCCGCTTTTGGAGAAACCTCCCTTGCCTCTGAGGGGAGCTGCATTTATAGGCTCAGGGCATCTATCCAATGACATCTCTCTCTTGTCAGTTGACCTAGGAGTCCCACAAGGAGACCAAGCTACACAACTGTAACATATGTGCAGAGGGCCTACGTCAGTCCCATGCAGGCTCCCTGGTTGGGGGTTTAGCCTCTGGGAGCCCCATGAGCCCAGGTTAGTGGATTCTGTGGGTTTTCTTGTGGTGTTCTTGTCTGGCTCCTACTATCATTCTTCCCCATCTTTCACAGGATTCCTCAAGCTCCACCTGAAATTTGGCTGTGGGTCTCTGCATCTGTTTCTATCAGTTGCTGTATGAAGTCTCTCTGATGACAATTGGGCTAGGCACCCATCTATGAGTATAGCAGAATAACACTGGGAATCACTTCATGACTTTTTTTTTTTGCCAGTCATGTATGGTTCTATCATGGTCTCTGGGCTATCCAGCCTCTGGTTCCTGGCCCTCCAGGCAGTGCCAGGGTGGGCTCCTTGTGATGGCATGGGCCTCAAGCTGGACCAGTCATTGGTTGGCCACTCCCATAATTTCTGCGCACCTCTACTCCAGCACATCTTGAAAGCAAGACGGATTGCAGGTGGAAGGTTTTGTGGCTGGGTTGCTGTCCTGGTCCCTCGACTGGTTACAGATGGCTGGTTCAGGCTCCATATCCCCCATTGCCAGGAGGCTTAGCTAGGGTCACCCTCGCAGATTCCCGGGAGTTTCCATTGTGCTGGGTTTCTAGTTTTTCTTACCAACTGCTGCTGTGCTTGGGAGTCCTTTGGTCCTTAGCAAAGACAGCGGTGGCCAGGGATGTTCATAAGTGTTTAGGAACATGGGAACTGCATGAACTGAGAAAGCAGGTTGAGCTGATCAATGAACACAATGGTCCTGACTCAGCCCACCCCATGCCACCCACATCCACTTGCATATCCTTGGCCAAAGCGCCCTTTCTTCTCTCCTAAGAGGACAGGTGCAGGTGCAAACCCTCAGAGGTAGATTTAAAGCAGAGAGGCCAAAGGCACAGGGTCACCTCCGAGCTAGAAGGACTTGGGGCTCCAGAGATGGGGAGGTACAAGTTCTGCCAGCTAAAAGGCTCGGTTCTATTCGGGGCCCTTAATTCCAAGCCTCATAGGACAGCTGTGAGGGAAGAATGAACTCTAATTGTCAATTCAATACATTTCCTCTTCCTGGAGAATGCTGTCTCAGACCTGGCCCCTTAGCCAGGTATTTCAACGAAACGAATCACTATTTCATTGGGCTGACTGATTCTCTGTGACCCGGTACACGACAAGATCAATGAGCTTGTCGTGTTTACTGTTTACCATCAGTTGCCTCCATGTTTAAAAAGAGTCCTTTGGCCTGAGGCTATATTCCACACAAACCAGAGTGAGGGAACGGGCAATCTGAACTGGCATGATGCTCACAGACACTCAGACAGAGAATCGACGCAGAGCCCAGAGAGCAATGCCAATGTGAAGGAGTGCCCACCCTTCCAAAGGAAGAGTGATATACGCCAATCCATCTCTCACCAGTGACTGGCTGGTCCCTTAAGGCAGCACCTTCTCAAAGGCTCAGTGGTTTTCTCTGCTGGTGATTGGTTAGGTGTGTGATAGGGCGGGATCTGGAGCGACCTGTCTCTAGAGACACCGCAGCCTACAAGGGAAGGAAGAGAACAGCCAACAGAGGCAGAGTGGAGTGGATCCAGGTGGTACGTATACAGTTTACCCAGAGCTTTCGCTGGGTCCTCTGTCAACAAAATTCACCTTTCTCATGCTGGAGTTAGGTCACCCTGGGAAAGGGATACTGCATCAGGTAATGCGTCAACTATAGATAAGAACGCCAAACATTAGAAGAGAGGCTGGAAAGACTTGAGGAGGCCATGCCAGTGAAGAGCAAAAAAATGAAAACTGCCAGGGGAAAGCCAGACACAAATGACTCTCAGCAGAGTAGAGAGCAGACTTTAGATGACATCATCGAAGCCCTTCACAAAGCCACACGCTCCCCAGTTGTGCAGGCTGAGACACTCAACAAAGACCGAGTCCACAATTACCCTTCCTTGTGCCAGTTCCTGTTACATACAAAGGGGAAGACCAAGGTGGTTATAAGCAAAATTATTTCTTTAAACTGAAAATGAGGGGGGTGGGGTGCCTGGAGAGAAATCTCAGCAGTTAAGAGCCCTGGCTGCTCCTCTAGAGGTCCCAAGTTCAATTCCCAGCTACAGCATGGTGACTCACAACGTGATCTATAATGTGATCTGATGCCCCCTTCTGGCATGCAGGTGTACACGCAGATATAACACTCACAACAGATAGACAGATATTGTTAAAAAAACTGACGAGGACAAGAAATATGACACAGAAGGTCAAGACACTTGCAGCCCAATTATTAATTTGTCTTTTTATTCACTGGTATCATGGCGAGTTTTAAAGAGTAAAATATTCATCGCATGGCTTTCCCTTACAGGTTTTTAACTATAGGGCTGAACTGTTTCCTAAGTAAAACCTAATTTAAAATGAGGAGCTAACATAGCCAAACATGTATTAGAGCCTCTGTTGGAGAACATGGTGACTATAATAATTAATAATATGGGGAGGGTTGTTTGCTTAGTTTTTGTCTTGTTTTTTTTTTTTTTTTTTTGAGGATGAATCTCATGTAGACCAGGCTGGTCTTATCTTGAATTTCTGATCCTCTCACCTCTGCCTCCAAAGTTGTGAAATTACAGGAGTGTGCCACCACAGCCCACTTAATAACACTGTATTTTATAACCAAAACTCACTGAGAGATTTTAAGTGTTAACAATAACAGTATCTAAGATAATTGATATATTAAGTAGCCTGATTTAGTCATTCTTCCTGTATACATATAACAAAGAAATCGTGTTGTGTGTCATAATTACATACAATCTTTCTCTGTCGAGTTGAAAACATGACGAAGGGAACCTAATATAGCCAGTCTGCCACCAGGACCCTTTACCCACCTTACTCAGAGGACTCTGTTTTGGCCTCAGCTGCTGAAAGGTTAGACAGTGTCAGTGACCATCATCATGTAACCTTTGGTGACTGAGAAGCCCATATCATTGAGAAACAGTTACCAGTGTTAGCCACGTTGGCAAGATACAACATGACACCTTGTTTACCTTCTTGGACATGGTCTTTTTATCTTCATGATGACTCAGTTAACTAGAATGTCAAGACATAAAATTGTTTTATTGGTGCGTATTGACATTGTAGGTTTCATTGTGGTGTTTCACAGGTGCACGTGGCCTACTCTGCTGCTGTTTAGCCCCTCGCTGCCCCCCTTACATGCACTTGTCCTGCTATTCCTAAATAGTTCTTCTTTGTTCTTTCATAGCCTTTATAGGTTTTATTGTTCTGTTTTTTTCCCCTTCTGAGATTATTCATTAGACTTAAGGGAACATATTATTTCTCTTATGATCCCGAATGACAATTCTTCCAGGCTGAGCTTTTCCTTTTTGTGTTGGAGGCCAGGTTAGTTTTCATCAGCTTCACAGAAACTAGTCACCTGGGAAGCGAGAACTTCACTGGAAACTGTCTCCATCAGAGTGACTGTGGGCATGTCTGTGAGGCATTGCCTTACTTGATAGTTGATGGGAAAGGGCCCAGCCCACTGTGAGTGGTGCCACCTTGGCTCCGTGGCCCCGGGCTATGTAAGAACGCAGGCGAAGCAAGCCATGAGGAGCCAGCCAATAAGCCTCTGCTTACTGCAGGGCCTCTGCTTCAGCTCTTGCCTCTGGGTTCCTGCTTGGCTTCCTGTCCTAGCTTTCTTCAATGATGGACTATGACCTACATGCTGAAATAAACACCTTCTACCCAAAATTGTTTTTGGTCAGTGTTTATCTCAGCAAAAGGAACCAAAGGAGGACAGTTGGTTTTTCATGTTAGTTCTTCTGTGTGTTGTTGATTTTCCTCAGTGTTTTTTGTTTGTTTGTTTGTTGTTTTTTATCTCTTCATGTTTATAACAGAGGTTTCTGTGTGTTAGTATGTGGCGGGCTGCCTCGGGAATCTCGTTCTGGGTCCTTCTTAAACAAGTTGCTCCATTTCTTTCGAGAGAAGTCCTACCTGTAGCCTAGACCTTCGGACTTCAGTGTGGTCCCTGACCAGTATCGGCATGACTGGGAACTGGGCAGCTTCAGTTCTGTCTGTGACGCACAGAAATCTGTGCAGCTCATAACTCTGGGCTCCAACAACCTGAAGAAAAGAATTCCAGAGTGGGAATGTGGGCCCAGAATAGAGTCACTGCTCCTGGCAGCTGCCCTGCGCTGTGACAGGGGTGCCTGACGTCTGCCCATCATGGCTCATTCCTTTCAAGTAGGTTGGGGTCTGCAAAGAAACACACACTATGACTCTGAACTGAGTTGTTTTTTTCAAGCCATATTTGCTTTTCTAAAGGGACTTATTTATTTGTATATGAGTGTATACATGTGTGGGGTGGGGGTGGGAGAGATGGAGGAGAGGTCGTGAGGGCTCATGAGCATGCAGAGGCCAGAGAGGGTATTGAGTGTCCTCTTCTATCAGTTTCCCTTCTGCAGCAGGGGCCGCCCCTGAACCTCAAGCTTCTGTCTTCTCTATTAGGCTGGGAACCATCAAACCCTCTCTCTTATACTCAGGGAGCTGGGGTTACAGGCCACAGGGAGCTCCCGGCTTGTTGCACGGTGCGTGCTGGGACTGAACTCTGGTTATCACGATTTTATAGCAAGTACCCTCTACCAACCCTAACCTTCTACCCAGCCCACTGCCTGCTGTTTAAGTAAACAGCGATTTTCCAGTGACGACACAGGATACAACTAATACATTGTGCTAGTTACACTTCGCCTCACAGTGATCAAGCTCCTAACTAAAAGCAACCTAAGGGAGGAAGGATTTACAGTGGTTGAGAGCACGGGGTTGGAAGCGGCTCTCGACAATTTCATTCTTTTCTGTTCCTAGAGACCGCCATCTGCTGTTCAGCCTCTGCCTTCCGGTGCGATCTGACAGGCGGTTCTCACAGCCTCATGCTCAGCTTTTGTCCTGGACTTTGTCCTTTCCAGTCCTTCCTGCTTATGACTCACAGCAGGAAGGACTTCACCAGCGCAGCATAGATCACCCTTTCTTGAATCGTACTTCAGATTCCTGGCCCTGGCCCCCTGGAGTGACTTGCTAGCACTAAAAGGTGACGTTTTCGAGTCCCTCAGCACAGCGTCAGCAGGCTCCCCTCAGTACGGCGAGGGGGAAGGGCGAGTTAACCTTTAAAAAGAAGGAGAAGACACAAATTAAAGTGAAGATGGGATAGTAAAACAGGCACCATTAAAATTCAGAAGCCCAGGGAATATTTTAGAAGTATTCAGATCCCTGGGCTATGCCATGACAAGAGCAGAACACAGGTGATGGGCTGTCACTGAAGATGAGCATGTCCTCTGCCTCCATACTGCAGGCCTGGCAGTCAGAGGTGGGAGGAACGGACATGACGGAGCAGCCTCTGCTCTCACTCCAGGAGACGCAAACAAGGCCTCAGCAAGTGACTCTCTTATAGAAGGAGCAAATGGATCCCAAGGGGCAGAGAGAGGAGGACAGGGAGAGAAGGGCAAAAGAGAGGGGGTTAGAAAGAGGAGTGAAGGAGAGAGGAGACAGGGGAAGAGGGGGCAGGGAGATAGAGGACATGGAGAACAAAACGGGAGGAAGAACAAAAATCACACAAATGCCTCAGTAACTATAGAATATATAACTGACACACTTCAGCGTTTCTTCATGATAAAAGCACTGAGGAAACCAGCAAAAGAGTGAGCACAGCGCAGCAGAGGTACATAGGGCAAAGCTACAGCCACCCTGCTCTATGCCGATGAGATGCTGAAAGCATTCTAAGAGCCGAGCAAACTAGAAGACCTTCTCTCTGCTCTGTCTCAGGACTGTGGGCAAAACCGTAACAGACACAGATGGGGATAAGGCCCAGTTGAGTCTGCGCTTGCCCAGTATGCAGAGGCTCTGGATCCAGTCCCCAAAACCTAAGAAACCAAGTGAGCTGGCGAGCACCTATAATCCCATCACGGGGGAACTGAGGAGGCTCAGAAGCTTGAAGAGCAGTTCCTATGTGCTGCCGCCAGGCTCTGCTGGGTCTGCTCCCGTTGTCCTGATTCCGTCTTCTGTCTCTTCCTGGCAGATACTGGCCAGAAGCTAAGGGTGGTTTTTCTGGCTCTTCCCCTTTCTGTAAAGCTCTCCTCCCTGCCATTGCTTGTCCACAATGTATATGACTGCTATGCAGGTTTAAAGGATGTGGCTTTTTTTTTTTTCCTTCTCTTCTCCATTCTCCTCCTCTGGGCAACTGCTGAGGT